TCCATCACCTGCACCAGGTCGTCGTACATGGAGCCGGTGACATCGAAGACAAAGGCCAGAGTGGCCCACCCTGGTGGGGTCTCGGCCACACTGAGGGCCAGCAGCACCCAGAGACCCACAAACACCCCTCCGTGGGGCGGCATCGTGGGGGACGCGCTCGGGTGTCAGCAGCACCCCTCGCGTCCTTGTCCTTCCCGCAGAGGCGCTGGGAGCGTCCCCGCAGCAGGGAGGGACACGGGGGGCGAGGGGCCACACGCGGCGGGGACACAGAAGGGACCCCGGGCAGGGAACGCCCAGCCAGCCCTCCGCAGCTGCGGACCTGCTCCTCCAGCGCTCAACTTCTGGGAGGGAGCAGGGAGGGCGGGAGGAAAAAGCGGACTTTTGGAGCCAGCGACGCGGCAGGGAGGTGGGTGGGAGTTGGAGGAAATCGGGATGGAGATACAGGGATTGGGAAGCGGATCCTGCAGCCCACGGGGTTGTCAGAAACGCTGCCCGGGACCCCTCCCCAGCGCCGACCCCCTGGCTCAGAGAGACCCTGCTCTGCTGGGGGGTTAGGGGAGGACACGGGGGTCACAGCCGAGCACCTGTGAGGAAACCCTGCCAAAGCCCAGCGGGGGAGACACAGCTGTGAAAGGAGCCCAAGGACTCAAACCCCCCTTGCTGGGCAAAGGGCCCTGGAATGGGGGTCTGCAACGGGGCTTGGAGGTCAGGGGGCTCTGTGGGGGGCTCAGCCAGGCAGCCACCCCACGAACAGGGAGCAAAGAGCCACGCAGAGCACAGCCAGAGCCGGAGCCAGGACAGGGCTGGGACAGGCAGCGCTTGGCCGGGACAGGCACCGCTTGGCGGGGAGCTGAGGGCTGAGCTCATGGCTGCTCCGCTGGGATGCTCTGCTCTTGCTCAACTCCCCCACAGCCGGACCCAGGGTGCAGCCACGGCCAAAAGCGGCTCCAGGTGAAGCTGTGCATCTCCTGCACCCCCTGCAGCAGCCCTGCTCCTCCCAGACACAGGAGCTGGGGGACCTTGGGGATCAGCCATCTCATAACCCACACACAGGACAGTGGCACCGCCCTGTGCCTTTCCTATCCCTGCAAGCGTGGGCTCAGCCTAGCTCAACCTCAGAGCAGGCAAGGACATCCCCTCCACAGCAGGGCAATGGCACTTCTGCCCCTGGGGCTGTGCCAGTGGCCTGTTCTCCTCCTGTCCCACGGCCAGGGCTTGCACTCCCCCAGGCTTTGCACTCCCAGTCCCACAGAGCTGAGGGGAGTCCCCCACCCCACAGTGCCACAAAACCTACCTTGGAGCATCCCCAGCCACCAGCCTGCATGCCAGCTCCATCCTGCACCCTGGCAGGGAGCACCAGCACGGCTGGCACAAAAAACCCCAACGACTTCTCCTCATCACCAAATTAATCCCAGCCAGCCTTTCCCACACTCACCAGTGCTCCCAGTCCCTGGAACACCTATGCTAGCTGGGCTTTAACCCCTTCCCTGCTGGGGGTTCAGGCACAGCCTCTGGGTAACCACCGTGGTTTGGAGCCTGTGCCTGTCCTTGCCCATTCCATGGCACAGGGGAGGAATCCCTGGGAGCTCCCACCATGTGCTGGCACAAAGCACCCCTGGACAAAACCCCCTGCACAAACACAGCCTCCTTGTTCGGACCATTAGGGCATCTCCTCTGGCCTCCCGAAAATAATGAGTCAGCCTCGTTAGGAGAGCAAACACAAGGGACATGAGCTGCCAGGGAGGCCTCGCAGGGCTCGTTTCCGGAAGAGCTGGCAGAGCAGAATGGCCAACGCTGCACGTGAAAACCCAGTCCAGGCTGTGAGCCCCCTGTGAGCCCTGCCAGGAGCAGGGGGGCTGCCAAGGGGCACAATTATGGAATATTCGTATCAAGATTCCTCTGCAGCCACTGCGTGCCAAAAGTGACCCAGTGGCTCCCAGCCCGCTGCATCCAGGGGGCTCAGAGGGGACAGGGACACTGCCCGTGGGCACACAGCTGTGATGGGGGACAGGGACACTGCCCACGGGCACACAGCTCATCTCCATTGCAAATGGGACATAGGGGCAGTGCCCATGGGCACACAGCTGTGTCTGCATTGCAAATGGGAGACAGGGACACTGCCCATGGGCACACAGCTGTGATGGGGCACAGGGACACTGCCCATGGGCACACAGCTCATCTCCACTGCAAATGGGGCATAGGGGCAGTGCCCATGGGCACACAGCTGTGTCTCCATTGCAAATAGAAAAAGGGATGCAGGCACTGTGTCAGGATGGGATCCAGTAGAGGGAAAGCTGTGTCTGAGTAAAAGGAGGTGGGAAGAGCAGTGTTATGGGGGTGAAGGGGATGCCTGGAGCTGAGACCTGGCAGCTCATCACAGGTGTGGGCACAGTGCCTGCCCACAGAGCTCAGGGCATCCCTATCTATACTGGTGCTGGTGCCATCAGTGCCCTGTGCTTGGGGCACGGGAGAGCAGCACCCCAGCTCAGCTCCCAGCCCTGCCAGGTGCCAGGGCAGCTTTGGGCCCCTGAGAACCCCCCCAAGACATCACAGACCACTGCCACTTCATTACTGTCATTAAGCTTTTATTTCCACTGTCACAAAGTTCCTGGGTTTTGTTTTGTTCTGTTATTAAACTGTTTCATTTGCTTGGTTTGCTCTTGAATTCATCTCAAGACAAGGCAGCGGGGCATGCAAGCCGAGACACCGGCACGGACGCACACACAGGCTTCATCTTCACAAACAAGGCTCTTTGCTGGAGCTGCTGCTTCCCAGCCCAGGGCTCGGCCACCCCCTGGGCAGGGGTCACACCTGTGGCACAGGGCACCCAGCCCAGGGCTGGTGGCCACGGGAGCAGAGAGAGAAGGGAAGGATGACTTTGCTGCAGCGCTGCCGGAATAGGCAGGGCTGACACGTGTAACTGAGACCCCAAAACTGCTGCACCCCAAACTGTGCACTGACACTGGGGCCAGCAGCTCCCTGCTTTGCCCTCAGCCCTCACTTCTGTCCCAGCCAGACCCTCCCCTCCAATGCCCTCGGGAAGGACAGGTGACAGATGCTCTCACTAAATGCCCCAAATCTCCTCCTTGGATGGGGGACAGTGAGCTGGCTGCAGGTCACTCACCCATCCCAAATGACCCCCCCCCAACCCTAAATACATGGCAAGGGGGCAGCTCTGCCAGTGATTTCAGCTTCCCCCATGCCATGCTTGGCCCTGCTTCACAGCCAGCCCTGCTCCAAGTGGGGCTCAAACCCAGATCCTGAGACTCCAAGACCATTCCACGCTCTGGGCAGCTGCATCCCTGCCCACTGAGGAGCAGTGACCTCAGGCTCCCATCCAACAGGAATGTGTCCTGATGGCAGGGAAGAGGCAACAGGCATCTATTCCTTTGAAGGAGGGTGAGATGCAGCTGGTACCTGGCACAAACAGGGTCTGGGGTCCCCCATAAGCAAACACCCCCCTCCACCAACCCAGCGGAGAGCGCTCCTGGGACAAGCCTGGTCTCGTTATAAATTGCATTAATTAACAGCCTGCTCCAGAGGAAAAACCCTTCACTTCTCTCTCTCCTGGGTCCTGGTTTGTGCTGTGAGGAGAGGGCAGGGGGGAATCTGCCCCCAGAGCCTTCTCCCACGTTCTTGCTCCTGGGGGAAACAGCTCAGCTCAGCCCAGCCCCAGAGCTCAAGGAAAGACAGACACAAAGCAGCAACAATCAGCACACAGACAGAAAAGTGAAAAGAAAGGAAAGTACAGACATGGCATTTAATGGGGCAACAGTGACAGGGACAAATGAGAGGGGGGCACATGCCACAGCCCCAGGGCTGGACCCTCACCTCTGCCTGGCTGTGCTTTGGGCCCCCTTCCCACAGCCAGGGCTCTGTTTTGGACAGGCACCAGGAACCCAAGTACAAACAGAGACAAAGCAGGGCTTGCTGCCTGTTTCATCATGAGCAGGTGTAAAACAGAGGCTGGAATTAAAGACTCCCTGACAAACCCAGCATTCCACACACTGTTCCTGGTGTTCTGCACGTGCCTGATGCCCGGTGGGTCCTGCCAAGCCCTGTGCCTGCAGTCCTGAGCTGTACCAGCACTCGTGGGTACAGACACCAAACTGCTTTCCAGAGGGGGATGGCTCACCCCAGCCACTCCACTGATGGGGAAACTGAGGCACGAGGAGGTTAAGGCCGACATTTCCAAGCACAAGATGCTCCAAGCCTTATTCTCAGTGATGCCAAGATGCTGCAGGTCGTGGTGGTGGTCAGGAGGAATCAGGGTCCCTTAGTGCTCCCCAAAAGTGGGACTGGAAGCATCCCAGCCAGGGTCCCAAATCCACAGCCAGTGGGGAACAATGGGGCCAAAACAGCTTTGCTCAGGGACACCCAGCGTGCCAAGAGCCCTGGCAGGGCTGACTCCCTGGGAAGACATCTGTGAGCACTGATGGAGCTCAACCCACGACAGGTCCTCCAAATATTAACAGCTTTCCAGGGGAACAGTGTCAGAGTAAATGAGGTTTGCCTTTGCCTGGGAACTATGTCAAACATGGCAGGGGCCATCATTCATCAGCAGAGGTGATTACAGCAGTGTCACATTCATTGGGAACATTGATTGGCACCAGGAGGGGACCAGTCTGGCACATGAGCATTCAACAAGTTGCAGGCACTGCAAAAAACCTACCCCAGAGAGTTGCATTTTGGCCACAGAGCAACAAGGAAAAGGGTTTCCATGGGAGTGAGTGAGGGACACCCTCCAGAAGCACCCCCAAATGAAACTGGGCATCCTCAGGGGCAGGAACTGCAGAAGAGGCAGGAATATTGCACATGGATGTGAGGTCAGTCTCCTTGGGGAGGGGGAAAGGTGTTTTTTATGGGCATCAAGAAGTACCACAAGCACAAAATCCCAAAACTGGGGAGTGGGGTTGCACGGTGAAGAACCAGCATCCCTTGGCTGGGGCATGTGTCCCTGGCATGCCAGGAAGATTCAGGGAATGCTGAGGCACCACCTTGTCTCCCTGCCACGGGGACAGTCCTCTGTCTGGCCTCAGCCACAGGAGCTGGGGGACAGCTGGGTGTAGAGATGCTGCTACCATCAGCTGGGCCAGAGATGGAAAGGAGAGGCCCCAGGGTGGCTTTAGGGATCCCAAAGGCTTCTTGCACTCTGCTCCTGAGGGAATGCACATCTCTCCTTTCCCAGAGCAGCTGAGGCATCACCCAAGCAATGCTCATTCTCCAGCAGAGATGCCAACTGTGTCCCACGGTGGGGCTGAGCTGGGGGCACATCCCAGAGGGGTGCTGGGTGCTGATGGAGTTTGGAGAGGCCATGCAGGCCCTGCTCACGATGGGGGGGCCGCAGCTCAGTGTCCCCAGGTGTAAATTCCCAGCCCTTTGCCTCCTCCAAGGTGGGTGCAAGCGGCTCTGCTTGGAGCCACAGCAAAACCTCCCACGTTCTGTGGGAGTGCTGGGGTAAGGAGACACCCTGAGCTGGGCTCAGCCCAGCCTGGCACTCCCCTGGCACCTTGTCCCAGCTGGGATGGGGGGATGGAGCAAGGCTGCCCCTCTGCCCCTGCAGCACACAGGATGGTTCACAGCCACCACCAAACCCTTCCCACCGCTCGCAAAGCTGAACATAGCAAAGGAATCTGCTTGAAAGCAGAACCCGACTCTGGGCTCCATTAATACTTTGTCATGCAGTGAGAAAATGAATAAAAGGAAGGAAATAGGGATGTTCTGGTGCCCAGCAGTTTGCTCACCCTGCCCGATGGAGGGATGGAGCTTGGTCTGCTCAGAGTCTGGGCTGAGTGAACCCTCACTGAGCTCCCAGAGGGAAGAGTGAACAGAAAAATGCAGGGAACACGGGAACAGGGAGAGGAAAAGAAGCTACAGCATCCCCTCCAAACAGCAGCCAGCCCACGGAGCTTGGGATACGAGGGGTGGGAGGAGAGGGGGGAAGGCAGATTTTTGGCTTCATTGTTATTGCAGGCTCCCGGGTCCCCGCAATAGTGTACGAGCATGTAAACCTTACAAATCCTCACCTGGGTGGGTGGACACACACACGAGAGACAAAACACAGCAGCAACATTTACAACAAATAAATAAGGATATCGATCGTCGAGATAGGCATATAAAAAAAAAAGCCTCACTTTTTTCCACCGAAGGGAAAAATTAAAAAAAATAAAAACCAACAAAACAAAACCAAACCAAAAAGCACAATACTGTCTCACCAGAAAAAAAAAAAAAAATAATATATATATCCCTAGTGAGCCGAGCCAGGCTGCCAGCGGCATCGTGGGTGACGCCAGGACTCTGTTCCCAATCGCCGTCGGTGCCTCGGCTCCCCGGGCACGGGCACACCCCGGGGCTGCAGCCCCGCTACCTTTGGGCTCCTCTCCGGCCGCTCCCGAGAGGACCCCGCCGGCGCATCCGCAGTCCCATCCGGAAATGTAGGAAAAAGGGAGCCAAGGGGGCCAGGAGGCCGAAGGGGGCTCTGCCTGCGGCCATGCTCCGCCCGTCCCCCGGCCCTGAGGTCTTGGACGTTCGCTGCCGCTCAGACCGGGGTCTGGCGCGGGGATTGTTTGGAAAAAGCGGAATTTGGCGAATGGCAGCGGCTGGTTCAGAGTGCAGAGAGGGGAGTGAGCTCGCGCTTTGAGGGCACTCCTTGCTCGCAGGGCAGAAAGGAAGGCCGGGAGGGACAGGCAAGCTTCGCACGGCGGTGGTCGGATGGCACGGAGAGCATCTTCCCCCAGGCATCTGCAGGAGAGGGTGGGAGAAGGGAGAAAGGGAAACAGGGTGAGAAGGATGGCCAGAAATCCCTGCGGCCATCTCAGCGCAGCTGGAAACAGAATAGATAGTGAAAATCTCAAAACTCCAGTGGGGTTAAAAACACCCCATCCCCAGGACACTGCCTGGACTGTGATGACCAAAAACACTCCAAGGGACTCTGCACAGCTCCACAGGGCACAGCAAGGACCAGGGGATGCTCAGCCCAGCACCTGTATGATGCTGTGAACCAGTGTCCCTGACACAGCTGTGCCAAACCAGCTCCAGGGCATAATATAATAAGATCTAAGATAAATAAAACATTTAATATAATCTGTCTCTGGAGCGTCCCCGTGCCCCCAGCACACCAGCTGCCCCCCTGCCTCCTCTGCAGCCACATCTGCTGGTGAGAGCACGAGCTGTGCCACAGGCAAACCTTTCCATCCCCATGGGATGAGGTCTGAGGGGCTCTGTGATACGGGGAGGACTGGGAAAACCTATCAGAATGGGGGCAACATTTCCCCTGGCTGGATTTGGGGGTGGATATCCATGTTCTGGTGCTTCAGCAGAGGGAATCAGCTGCCTGTGCCTGGGAGAGGTGGGACTGGCATGAGGCAGGTGGGAGATGGGGCCCCCAGAGCCGCTGGCACTGCACTCACCGCCGCTCGGCCCCGGGACTATACGAGCCCATCGTAGAGGGAGAGCGCCTGCACGATGGAGGGGTCGGCCTTGGAGCCCTCCTGGAACTCCTGCAGCGTCAGCTTCCCGTCTGCATTCTGCAAAACACTCCTGTGACTGCACTGCTCCACCCAGCTGAGCACCCGACAGCCCGGCACACCCACACCAGCCCACACACCCTGCCCACTGCGCTGCCTCAGTTTCCCCACTGAGCCACCCATGGAGGGGACAATGCCACCCTGGAGACCCTGAAATGCATACAGGGATCCCAGAGGGATGTGGGTATCCCACAGTGATCCTGTCAGCAGCTGAGGTCTGGTGTTGGTGGGGCAAAGAGGCACCTGCAGGAGCCAAGATGCAGCAAAGGCAGCACCTCCTAAATCCCTTGGCCACAGGGAAAAAACCATCAAGCATCCTCACCTTGTCCATCATGGCAAAAATCCGATCCACCCTCTTCTCTGGTGTGTTCTCCTCCTCAGGAAGCTCCACTGTGTTCCCCTGCAGCAGCAGCAGCACAGGACTGGGTCACACACCCATCTGTGCCCTGCCTGGGGGGTGTCCCCAGGCGAGGATCGTGTCTCAACACACATCAGGACAGGGTGCAAGGGGACAACACTGGCACCAGAACCACTCTCAGCAACCAGATCCAGACACTGCCCTGGCCATGACGGCCACAATCCCCCACCAAAAAAGGCCAGAGAAGGAATTGGGGGTGTTTCAGCATTCCCACAGAGCTGAGCTCCAGCCCAGCAGGGACTGCTTGCCCCGTGCCCCCCCTGCCCCCTTACCACCATCTGATAAATGGCATCCACAATGTCCAGCATCTCGTTCCTCGTGATGTATCCGTCGTTGTCCAAGTCGTACAGCTTAAACGCCCCTGCGAGACAGAGCAGCCCCAAGGGGCTGGGACTGTGGCCCCCAGCCTGGACCCCCGTGGGGCTGAGCCCACCAGCATCCCATGGGGAGCACTTACACCTCAGCTTCTCGTCCAGCGTCCCCCGGGAGGTGACCGACAGCGCCTGGATGAACTCCGAAAACTCGATCCTCCCATCCTGGGGGAGGAAAGGAGGGGTCAGGCTGCTGCTGCCACCGCTGCCCAGCAAAGCCCTCCCTGCCCATGTATCCCCTCTGGGGGGCACATCTGGAAGGCAGCAGGGAGGGAGGAGTGATGCACATTTATCCCCAGCACTGTGACCAGCTGCCGGTGCCCAGCCCACTGGAGAACATCCCGGCAGGAGCAGTCCTGGAATGCAGGGGGCACCACAGGAATGGGCTTCTGGGGCACCAAAACACCACTTCTCCTTTCCTGCTTTGCCACTTCATCACCCTTCCCCACGTGACTCTCCCCAAAAATAAGCACAGGGGCTCGCTCCAGCTGCGCCGCTGCAGTTTCACGCCCCAGGAAGCGCTGGAATATTTTGCTCCTCCAGTGCAAAATTCCAAACCCATCCCACCATCGCCACAGGCCCAGCCATGACCACCCTGGACCGAGCCTCTGGATGCCAGACTTACTTTGTTCTCATCGAAGACATTGAAAACAAAGGTGGCAAATTTGGTTGGGTCACCGAAGGGGAAGAACTGCTTATAGATCTTCTGGAAGCCGGCGGCATCGAGCTGCCCGCTGGGACAGTCCTTGATAAAGCCCTTGTACCTGTGGATGGAGGGCACAGCATGGCGCAGGAGGGCTCCCCACTGACATGGGAGGCTCTCCCCAGTGGGCTGGAGCTGGGAAGGTCCCCAGGTGCTCCCTGTGTCACTCCCATCACCCACCCACAGCATCCCAAGGGTGGCAGTGGGGACAAGCAGAAAGTGGCACCAGTGACACCGAGTGATGCCCACTGCACTGCTCCAAGCTGCTGCCAGCCCACAAGGGCCACAGCCAGGCTTGTGCTGAGCATTGTCTGGGACATGGGAGGTGACAGGGACCCACTCCCCAGCCAAGACTGACAGCAATGCCACGCTGCAGCCGAGCCCTGGCAAAAAACAATGGCACAGGGACCACTGAGTTCTGTGAGGGTGTCTGGGCACAGGAACAGGCTCCCCAGGAAAGCGGTGATGGCACCAAGCCTGCCAGAGGTCAAGAAGTGTTTGGACAACAGTTGCAGGCATATGGGGTTCTTGGGATGAGCAGCACCAGGAGCTGGATTTATTCTGATGCTTGAGTCCCTCCCAACTCAGGATATTCTGTGATAATTTTTGCACGACCCCAAATGAAAGCTGCTCAGAGGAGCTGGGGGGCACAGCAGGGTTCCGGTGTCCTCAGGTGGCACAGCCCAGGTCACTTCCAAAACCCACCAACGCTTTAACACCCCAAAAAGCCCTCAGACCCAGCTCCAGGGTGGACCTAAGTGCAGCTGAGCCGGAGGGCGCGGGGAAGGGGCTCAGCGGCTCCCTGGGTGTGGGCACCACGCAGGGAGCACGAAGGGAGCATGTGGGACCACAGGGGCATCACGTGGGGTACGTGAATATTATGCAACACATCGCCCAGATCTGTCAGGCGCCCGCTGCAGCGGGACAAGGGCTGGAGGAGGAGGGGAAGGGGGTGGCGAGGTGGGAAACCGAAGTGCCGGTGACATCTTTTTCACGCTGCTGCAGCTATGACTCATCGGGTGGGGGGGAAGGATGAGAGAAAGAGATAAAGAAGGCAAACCTTGACTGGTGGGATAGCGAGATGAAAGGGAAGCAGTGGCTTTTCTAGGGCGCTGTGTTCGGTGGGGTGGAGGGGATGGAGTGAGAGCGTGGATCCCACCCCTGACAGCCTCTGCAGGCCCTGCTGCCAAAGGGAACCTGCTGGGACAGCACCAGCTGGACAGTCCCCATGTCCCCACGCTCTCTGGCTGCTCATGTGGGGAGGGAAGAGCCACTAGAACCCAGTCCTTGCACAGGGTGTAAGGGCACCCTCTATCTATAGACCCTCTATTTTCTGGTCTCCCCTCTATGAGACAGCACCTGCACCCCAATACAGGTGCACCTGCCCACACCTCCTGCGTGTCCCTCTCTGCCTGACCAGTGCCACCAGCTCCTGTCCCCTGCCCACAGCCCCATGCCCCAGCCAGCTCACCACCACGGCGGGCACTCACCACTGCTGCACCTCCTTCTCTGTGACTGCAAGAGAAAACAGGAGAAAAGAGAAAAAAAAGAGACAGAAATTTAGTGCTTTTGCAGTGACAGCTGTTCCTCTGCACTGCCCATCAGTGAATTTCCTGGGGAATGCTCTGGGACTCCCAACAATTAATTCCTTGGGGGATGCCCCAGGGTTCACTTGCTCCATGAGCTGCCAAGTTTTCCCCATGTGGCAGAAACTGCTTTTGGAGCACAGCCTGGACCAGCCCAGGTGGTCCATGGAGCCAGGGCTGCAGGTGCTGGAGGTCCCCAAAACCCGGGAGATTCCCAAGACGTTTTGTGTTGTGTTCAGGGAATGCAGAACTATGACGGACCATGAAAGGGACAAGCTGACCATCCTGGGGAGGATCTGGCCCTGCTGCCTCCTCTTCCCAGAGCCAAAGCATCCCTGAAAACATCTGCCAAAACATCTGCCTGGAGGCAGCTCAGGGAAGGGCCTTGCCTGGCCCTGACACACTGGAGGTGGGCACAGGCACAGCCCCAGGGCTGGCATCCCTCCAGGTACCAGCAGTCTCTGGAGAAACATCCAACCCATCCCAGCACACTGGGGAGCCTCACCAGGCTCTGGAAAAACCCCAAAATACAACCAAAACTAGCAAACAGACAGCACTGGCAACCCTAGGTGTCCCCAGCCAAGGGACAGCTGCTGAGATGGACGATGTCCTCAGCAGAGGAAAGGCTCTGAGGGACGCGGGGCGCTGGGCAGGGGCTGGCACTTGTCACTGCGTGTCCCACTGCAGGAGCTGTGCCTGTGCCTCCCCACAGCGGGGAGCCAGGTGCCAGCAGGTGGGCACAGGGGGGAACGGCCTCTTCTGTCATTTCCTTTGCGTCGTGCATCTAAATAATAATAAAAGAGCCGCAGGTCTGAAAGGCGCGGGGATAATGAGGCGAGTGGAGATGTCAATGTGCAAACGGCTGATAAAAATAGAGACCGAAGGCACACCAACAGATGCCAATTACCTTGGGTGGCAAGAAAAATAAAGAAAGCCATTTTCCATCAGGAAGATTTGTAACGTGCCTGGTAGAAGGCACAGAGCTCAGAGGTGAGGGCTGGAGTGGCCGGGAGGTCACACAACGGCTCCCACCTCATCACCAGCGGGATTCTGGCTCCAGCATCCCTGTTAGCAGGAATTTCTGTGCCCAAGGCTGTCCCCATGCTTTGGAGGGTCCCTCCATCCCAGCACAGGGGTCGCTGGAGGGACACAGCTTTCGATTCCCCATTTTTCCCTGGGGTTCAGCAAAAGCAGCACCCACTGTAGCACCACGGGGTGTTGGACAGCAGCTCCCCAGGAGAGGGGACACAGGCACAGGGATGCTCAGCATCTGGGATGAAGAACACAGAGAGCTTTGGCAGTGCCACGGGAGGGATTTGGAGGGTTGTTTGTTTTGGGCACACAGCGGTCTCTTGGCAAGAGGGAGGCAGGAAGGACACACTGCATCCAGCAGCCGAGCTGGAGTGGGCTAAAACACCAGTCATAGCAGTTCCAAGGGATTTCCCCAAAAAAAAAAAAAAAAAGGGGTTTGCACAGAAGCATCCTTCCAAAAGAGAGAAGCTGAGTGACATCTCCAGCAGGAACCTGCACACACCTGCACTGAGACACCAGGCGTGACCTCCACCCTGAGGATGCCCGGGGGATGCCCCAGGCACCGGCTCTGCAGGCCCAAGCACCCAGGAGCACCAAGGAGGGCACCAAGGTGGAAGGAGGAGGATGAGGGTGAGCCCTCGGGGCAGGCAAAACCGCAGCAGCAGCCGGGGCTGCACTCAGAGCTCGGCTCAGCCCCTCCAGGCAAATCGCCTTCTGCTCTCTCTTGTTCGACTGCTTTTCCCCCAACGTGCTATTTTGGGCCCGGGAGCTGCCTTTCAACTCCAGCAGGAAACAATTAAGAAATTTGTGCTTTTTTTAGTTCGGGAGAAATGCTGGTAATGACAGCTCGGGCTGAGGCGGGAGGGAGGGACGGAGCCAGCTCCCCTCGTGCCGCAGGAGAGATGTGTGATGCTCCCAGGAGAGGCTTTTCCGACGGAGGAAACTGTTCAGGTGCCAGGCTGGAAATCAGCACAGGGCTCCCGAGGAGGGATTTGTTAATGTGCAGCCTGGCACGGAGCCACACGGAGCCCCAGCCCTCCTCCAGCACGCTGGCACCGGTGCCTGTCCTCCAGCCTTGGGAGCTGGGGAATCTGTGGGGTTTGTCCTGAGGTGGGAGCACGGCCTCATCTCCCAGCCTTTGGAAAACCACCCCACTCTGGGTTCTCCACCAAATCTCCCGTCTGCTCCCAGGGCAGGGAACTACCCCAGCCCCGATCCAGTGTGGGACTGAGCAGCACCTGCCTCCTGTACCTGCTGATACAGAGCCGGGACAGATGAAGACTTCCCGGCTGCCACTTCCCAGCCGCTCCGGCCCTGCTGGGTGTTGACACTCCGAGTGGCACCAATTAGGAACGCTGATGCCCGACTTGCAGCCACAGAAGCCTTGGGGACACGCTACTGCGTGCGTGGCTGAGCCACCTGTGCCGAGGCTGGGGACAGAGGACAGCCGGCGGGGCCGGGGCTGTCCCTGTGCCCTGCATTGCCGCAGGCTGAGCCCAGCCGGGCTCACGGCAGCTCCTGTGCAGCGGCTGCTGCTGCATTTCCCTCCCGCGGCATGGACTGCGGCGCGGCGCCGAGCCGGCACACATCAATTCGCAGCGATACGAACCTCGGCCAGGCGAGCCCCCGGACGCCTCAAAACAAGGGGATGACCCAGAGCAGCACCCCCAGAGCAGCCCAGCCGAGCAGGGCCGGGTCCCAGCCGAGCAGGGCCGGGTCCCAGCCGAGCAGAGCCGGGTCCCAGCCGAGCAGGGCCGGGTCCCAGCCGAGCAGAGCCGTGCCGCGCTCCGGGGCCCGCCGGGCAGGGCTGTAAATAGCGCACGTAGCAGCTTGTTAGCAGCAGCGTGCCCCGGGCTCCTCGGGGACGAAAGGCGCTAAATAAAGGCAGTGTTGTCGTTTGTTACGAACCGCAAGGCTGGAAGAGGCATCGCCGAGCAGGGAGCCCCGGCGTGGCCCGGCCCGAGCGCTCAGCCCCGCGCACAGAACGGAGAGCGCGGGGCTCTCAGCGCAGGCAGCGGGGACAGGGACAGGCACCCAGAGCAGCTCAGGAGCTGCCCCACACGGCCAAACCCCATCCAAGGGCCCTCTCTCTTGGCTGGTCGGTCCCTTTCCACCTCGGGGAGGAAGGTTTCGGCGTCTCGTCTCACACGGCGCAGAGGGGCAGAGCCTCCGAGCAGCCCCCAGCCCCCTCCGAGCAGCTGCCGGTACCCAGCTCTCCCCCCAGCCCTCTCCCCCCACCTCTCCATCAATCCCAGCGGCACAGGCGAGGACTGACAGCTCCGTCACCACCCGCCCTTCGCGTGCCCCCTCTCCTCCCACCACCCAGCTGCCACTGCAGCAAGAATCAGCTCTGGTTAATCAGTGCTCAAGCCTGTTAATTTGTGTTTTCCAGGCAGAGAGGAGAGGAGGGACCCGGGACTGCAAATCCCCACCCGTCGCCCGGCCGCAGGGAGCTCGCTGGAGGGGACGGGGCGGGAGGAAGGAGGGCAGGAGAAAGCAGGATTCAAATGGTTCAGGGACCCCCGGTCACGGTGGGATGCATGAGGTGACGCGATGCTTCAGCCCCCCAGAGGCTTGTTTTGTGCTGACATCCCTTCCGCTGTGCGCAAGGGTCTGGCCACGGCCGCAGGGCTGCACTCTGAGCAGGACTGAGCTCGGCTCAGCGCTGTGAGCCAAAACCAAGGGCACGGCTCCGTCCTTGTGCAGGTTTGGGCTCCCGAGGGCTCAGCAAGCAGGAGGAGTCTCCCCAGAGTCCCCCCTTGTCTCAGCTGCTAGAACAGCACCCTGGTCCCGTGGGGCCGTGGGCACAGCAGCCTTATCAGGGAAACCAGTTAATTATTTCCAGGCACAAAGTGGCTTCCCTCACCGCCACAGGGCACTGCAACCATGCCAGCTCACGGGCCGTGCCAACCCACGGGCAACCGCTCCAGCACCACACACTGGGTCATGCCAGGGACGTCCTGTGGCATTTATTCCCCCAGGGATCTGCTGTGGCTCCTTCACAGGGTCCCCGGGCATCCCAGTCTGGGGGAGCCCGCACACCACCCCAAGATGGGGCTCCCATCGGGTTTTGGGGCTGCCTAAACCGGCTCTGGGTGCTCAGAGCAGTGCCCAGGCCGGGGGAAATGAAACACCCACAATGGGTGCTCAGGCGTGAAGGAATGGGGCATTTATGCACGAACTAAGTGGGCACCCATGCCTGAGCCAGAGGGGCACTCATGCAAAATCACAGCGGGAGATCATGCGTGGACTAATTGGGCACTCGTGCATAAATTATGTGGGTGCTTCTAGGTGAACTAATTGGGTGCTCATGCATGAACTGCCCAGGTGCTGCGGCGAGAGTGAAAGGGCCGCTCATGCACGAACCAGCTGCGGGCTCATGCATCCATTTTTTTGGGCATTCATGAACTCACGGGGCGCTCATGCACGGATTAATTTAGCAGTCACACGTCCATTCGCTGGGCACTCCGGCGTGAGCTAATTGGGCACTCATGTGTAAATTAGTGTAATTAGGAGATAACACACTTGTGCACGTACTAATTGGGCACTCAGGTGTGAATGCATCAGGTGCTCATGCATGAATTAATTGGACACTCAGGCATGAGCTAATTGCAGCCACGTGCGCCAATTAATTGGGCACTCATGCATCAACAGCCAGGGCGCTCATGCAGCAGTGTGCGATCCAGCGGGAATTCGCTGGGCAGCCATGCATAAATGCAGCTGGGCGCTCATATGCAAATTAATTGTGCGCTCATGTGTGTGTTAATTGGGTGCTCATGCGTGAACTGACTGGGGCGATGCGGACGAGCCCGGGGTGCTCATGCCAAAACATCCGGGAGCTGCGGGTGAGCCCCGCACACCCTGCACTTTATGCCAAACACACTCCGCCCCTCGTCC